GATTAGACCTAAGGAAAGATGATGCCTGAGTGGTATGCACAGGCGCTAAAAGGAAAAGAGTGCCACTAAAGGAACTGGGGAAGGAAAGAAATAAAAGCAGGTTTGCGGGAGGAAAGGATAGTTTGGGCCATCTGAAGTTTGAGGTGTTTTGTTAACATCCTGGGGTAGAAGATCAGGAAGCAGTTAAGCATAAGACCCCTGAGATCAGAAAAGAAGTTGGGAACACCTGTTTAGATTTGGAAGCAGTCTGCCGAAAGGGAGTAGTTGAGGTCAAAGAAGTTTACCAGTGTAGGCTATAGGAAAGACAGAATAGGACAAAAGATATAAACAGCATCGGCACGTAGAAACCACACCTGCCTTGCTTTATGCCTTGATCTCTCCCCCTGGTCAAGTGGGGAATAACAGTAGTAGTACTGACGTCATAGGGCTGTTGTGAGGGCAAAAGGAGAGAGCAAATGCAAAACACTTTGAACAGTGCCTGGGACAAGGTAAGTATTCAATGGATGTTGTGCTGGAGGACCCACAGAGTTGATTGTTCTAAGGAACAGGGATAGTTAAATAAATAATCGTATATTTGCATGACAGGATATTATGCAGTTGTTTAAAATCATGTTTTTGAAGAATAGTGACTTTGGGAAATGCCTTTAATTTAAGATTAAGATGGAAACTCAGACTATAAAGTGGAAATTTTACTAAGTAGAAATATGCATACAGACACACACCTGCCATAAAAAAATGTTCACAGTGGTTATCTCTAGATAATGGGAATAATAGAGATTTAAGGTTTTTCTTTAAGAATTTAATTTAAATACTTAAATAAATGTAAGTGTTTCACTGTATTACCTGTATTTTTTATGATAAGTGTGTAATACTTTATAGTCAGAAAATGATTTTTAAATGAAGAAAGTTTGATCAATAGCATCAAATATTGTAGAAAGTTGCAGAAGGAGCAAGGCCATCGGTCTTAGCAACTAGACGATCATTGATGGCAGTTTTAGTAGAATAGTGATGGTGGGAGATACTTTTTAAAACATAAAATATTTCATACATGTAAAAATATTTAAAGAACTAGAACATTATCAATATGGTTGGAGCCTTCTGTGTTCTCCTTTCTAATAACATTTCACGGCCTTCCCTGCAAGAGCTAGAGATTATTCAGGATGTTGCGCTTAAAGCCACATTTTGGAGAGTTAAGTGAGCAGGTGGTGAGAGAATGGAGGCAGAGACTCTGGCAGGCTCATGATTTGGAGGCAAAGTGGAGGAGAACAATAGGACAATAGCTTGAGGGGAATACAGAGCAGAGGGAAGGCTTTTAATTTAGAATAGAGCAGAAATAAGTATGTTTCTGGCAGGAGTAAAGGAGCCAGATAGAGATTAAGGACGCGAGAAAAATGAGAAGCTGTAAATAAGAATCCACTCTCAAAAAGGTGGGAATGATTGAAATAGGCACTTAGGGGTGAAATTCAGCTACATCCCTGAATGATCCATTCTAGTCATTAAGACAATTCCACTTATTCAATTTAATGTGTTTATTTTCCTTGTCCTTTATATATTCCTTCAGGTAAGATATATGTTACATTAGCATAAACATTTTTTAAGCAGACAATCCCATTGGAAATTTTGTGAAAGCAAAGAAATGGTTAAAACTCAACAAAACATTAGCAGAACACACAGAGAGAAGGATGTTGCTGCAATTCCTTGAAGAATTGAACCCTGTAAAAGAGAAGATTTCTTCATTTTTATTTCAAATAGTGTCACATGCATAAATCAATTTGTGGTCCCATTTTTACATTATTATTGAAAATGAATAAAAGAGTTACTTGGCTGTTCAAGATGTTACTCTATTTTTCTCAACAAGATTATGCAATAATATCCAAATTTTAACCGACAGAATGAGTTGGGTTATGGAACAAATTATTCATAGAGATAGGACTCGCTTCATAAAAGGTAGACTGTCATGAAACAATTTGAGCAAGGTCTGAGTATTATTAGTTGCGCCCCAAATATTTCATTCCCAGTTCTGATGATAGTGAAATACACTAAACTAGCATTTGATAATATTAAAATGGCTATATGCTTTTGAAGGATTTAAAGGATTTGGTCTCAAGAAACCATTTATAACATTCAGTTGGTATGCCTCCTTATGTACATCTTTGAAAGCATTTTGTTAAAATTAACCAGCATTAACCTGCCTTCTTTATTTAAAGGGTAAGGTGATCCAGGATAGCATCTGTCTCCACAACTATATTTGCCTGATATTAAATTGCTTTTGTACATGTTTTAGGCAAAATAATAATATATTAAAGTATTATAAGCTCAGGCAGCATATAATTATTTATCACTAAAAATTATTTACCACTAAAACTATTTTGAATTTTCTTTCATCTAAAAACCATAAACAGTATATTATGTTTTTGCTTCTGGGCGATTTCACATAGACATATATTGGAGTCTCAGTATTTTTTGGTTAGAAAAATGAAGTTGCAGAACAGGTCTCTAATATTGTTTTCAAACTGGCATTTATTAATGAAACAATCAATAGTATTTATATGTAATTTTTGTAGGATTATACACTTGTTAAAAAAACCACCAAAATTTTCCTATATGGAATACCATTGTTATCCTCCTCTTAGTAAATACTTGGGACATATTTCTAAAAGAAAAACTAAAGTTCTTCTCTATAGACTACCACTGCTCTTAGGTATACTGTTTAACATCTGGGCCTAAACTAGTACTGACAAATAACTAGCGTATCCGCAGCTGTCAGTCATGCACTTGTAGAGCCTACCCATAGTCCCAATGATAGACCATCACACCCAGAGGAAAAGCCCAGTCATCATTAAGCAGCATGCCACTGACCAAGGGCCTATCATATTATTTGATATTTTGAACTATGTCCTTTGATAAAGATAACCCTTAAATTTAAAAGCATTGAAAATTTAAACACTGGATCAGAACATGAAATCATTTCTAACTATGAGTAGTGTATTGGCCAGAGTCCAGTTAGGGATGCAAAAACCATGCTAGCTATTTCAAACAGAGGTATTTAATACAGAGATTTCTTGTGCAGGCATTGAAAGGTTGAAAGTGGGATGCTGAGGTAACCTAGAGAAAACACTAGGAAAAGCTACCACCTGCAGAGCTGGGAAAACAAATAGGAAGAGATGGTGTTACCAGAGCCTAAAAGTTCTGTGGGGTTGGACAATAGGAAGGAACGTCTCCATGGAGCTGAGTTTTGTTCAAATTTCTGAAGAGGGGGCGTAGCCAGGTGGATGCCAGATAGGTCAAGGAGACAGGGCTGGAAGATAATGGAAATGGGATTCTGGGGATGGTGTGGCAAGTGCTAGGTCAGTTGATGGGGCAGTGGGGTGAAGAAGTAAAATAGGGCTGTTACTCCAACAGCATGGCTGCTATGTATACCTCTGAGGAGCAGCTGCAGGCTGGCTTTGGAAGTGCCAAGAGAAGCTGGACACCCCAGCTCTAGCTGTCCCCTCCTGCTAGGGGGATGCCAACGTGAGCTGGAAACCAGGAGAGAGCCCGTTATCCCATCCTTCTGCCTTCCAATCTCCCGTCAATGCCTCCTATTGGTAGAATCTGTCTGGAAGTGAGCTGGAAGATGTGGTTTTGTAGTTCCAGTCCCAACATCACAGAGCAGCCTATAGAGAAGTAGGTTTGTGACTGAGGAAAATAGTCAAATAACTGGCAAGGTAGTTGTGTGTATTTTCACAGTTTACAGTTAAAACTCTACGGGGCTGTAAGGACCAGTTCACAGGCTCAAGTGGTTAAGATAAATTGTTGTATCAGAAGAATCAGAAGAGTCTCATGACCCCCTTGGGAGACAATTTTCCATGGATCTCTTGCATTTCTGCATGGCTTATGAGCAGGAGCACTGACAATTTTGTATCCACTATTTTTTCAAGAATGTTCATATAACAAACAGCTTTGGAAGACAGAGATAGTGTCTCTCTCTGGAATAGAGGGAGGTTTGTTTGCTGTCCAACATAATAAAGATACTGTGCCCCCCTCCCCCTACCCAGGGCAAAGGTTGGAAAAATTTGCTTGCATGAGGCATGAAGGAGATCATAAAAGACTGGTGTTTCCTAAGCTCTGGTTCCTCACTTGTGACCTAAACCCACTGCATAGGCGTCTACATGACCTGTTCTGCATCACCCTCGTGGGACTTGCAGGGCAAGAGGACCCTATGTGAATATGAACCGGATGCTACTTGCTGTGCCATGAGTAATAAAATCCTTTGTCTCTGACCCAGGAGTCCCATGTCTTCTGTCAAAATCCGTGTGGCAGGCTAACCTTTTGCTTACAAGAAGGGTAAATCTGAGCTCCTTCACAGTTCTTGAGAGAACCTTCCATTCAATTCAACAGACATTTACTGTCAAACTATGGCTTAACGAGCTTTCATGAACATTTCCAGTATACACAAGATGAGCACTCTCTGCCCTCAAGCAATTTACAGTGTAGAAGGAAAGGGATGTGATCCACCACCATCTCTATGACCACTACCATAACCTGTATCCCACAAAAACTTGGCAGGGTAGAGAAAGCTGATACAAGTCAGTTACCACGAGTCCATCTGCTGTCAGTCTCCTAAAATATTGTTAACAGTCTTCATCTGTCATTGTCTCCTTTCTTATGTTTTTGCCATTTGGGTTCATTATTCACTGTACTTTTGGTGGGATTTTAAAAGGGCAAAACTGTCAGAGGTCTTCAACCTGCCATATTTAAGCAGATATCCCTAAACTTTCATTTCTATCTGATGTGCTATGTATCTTTTTTGTTTCTGAACAATGACCTTTAACCTTCAGGATCTTGCCTTGTAAAAGGACAGCTGCTTTGATGTCATTTTAGGGGTGGAAATGGTATATACACCTTCATCAATAAAATCTTTTTTCAGGAAATTTATTCACTTTTGGGGGGAAAAATGCTTTGACCTGTTAGCCATCATTCACGATGACATGGAAATGAGTTTTAGGTCTTTTTGATAGGAAGAGAAACCGAAGGACTCCATTGAGGATCCAGAATGATGATTTGCAAAGGAGTACCTCCTGGAGGAAAAGGCTGAGGCTGGGATCTGAAGATAAAACTGACCTACTTCACAGTTTTACTTGGGGCCAGCAGAACATTTTTTCACTGAGCTGAGGTGTGTATCTCTACAAGCCTCTAGATTTACAGGAAATAAATAATGTATTGAACCCAATAATCTTATTGAAGCTTCAACTACCCCCCATCCATCCCTTGCAATAGAGAAAGCACAGCTTCTGCATCTTCTACCCATTAAACAAGATTAGTTTACCTTTCCAACAGCTTAAACAAAATAGCAACTCAATGGTCCTCCTAGGACTAACTGAATAAGAAAATAGTGCTCTAATCAATGTTACTGCTAGGCTTAATAGTTTTCTGATATTTGGTCTAAATTTTATTGCTGTCAGTTGAGTATCTCTTTTGAAGCAATTCTATTTGCCTCTCAATTATGTGCATATGTTTCATGTAATATATCTCCTGGTGGTAGAAGAGTAAGGGGACAGTGAGAATGACATTGGTTATTTAGTTTTTCTTGTTATTACCATCAATGGTTCCTTTATGATCATTTTGTTAAACTAGGCATTTATTAGTCTTTTTATTTTGGGTTCGTGAAGTCAGTGCTGTTGGCCACTTACCCCCACATTCAGCATTTTCCTCCTATCTGATGAGAAAATTGATAACAGTGTCTTTTCATCAAGGTGCTTTTAAGGTAATTTTTATGTTTTTGTTTAACATGGCTCAAAGAGCAACTCAAAAAAATCAAGATACAGATGCTGATTAAAACACATGGCTGTCTGCTTCCCTGCATATTGGCCCAGTGCCTAGAAGGATCACACACCAGCAGGTGGATAGGGTTGTAGCTGATACACCTGACATGAGAATGGACTGTAATGAAACCCAGGCTGCACTCCAGTAAAAATGAGGATCTTCATGTCTTTGACTAAATCACTTCAGATCAAGTCTCTATTATGGCAGAACTAGCTAGGGGTTTCAAAATTCAAATCAGGAAGGACTTCAGTATCATTATGCTGTTTCCACATATTGCAGGAATTCTAGACTTGGGGGATGATATCATAAAGATGGAGGAGGAAAGGAAAACCATTATGGTAGATTAATTGCAAATAATAGCTCCAATTCTTTACCCTCTTTGCCATATCACTTTGAAGTGCCCTCCGTCTGACCCTGGCTTGGTCAGGTAACTTGCCTTGGCCAATTAGCAAATATGTGCAAGGAGAAGCTTGCAAAGCACTTACTCGTCTCAACTTGCCCTCCTACATTTCTGCCACCACCATGAGAAAATGAATGGGCTAGCCTGCTGGTAGATGAGAGGCAAATACCCAGTCACCCCTGTCACCTAGCAATAGTGAGCCTACCATCTGACACAGCAGTGAATCTGGTCTGGATCTGACAAACTATCTACAGAGTCCAACCTAAATTGCTGAAACACAGACTAATGACATAAATAAATGCCAATTAGTTTAAGTCATTGAGATTTGTGTTGGTACCACTGAGCATTATCATGGTAATTAATAACTAATACTATCACTATTCTACTTAACAAACATTCACTGAGTGCCTAGTAGGCACTATGAAGATGCAAGGATGAGTAACGCATAGTTTCTGTCCTCAAATTGCTTACACACTAGCAAGAGACAGACTTGTAAACAGATAAACTTAATGTAAAGTAGTGCTAAATACAAGTACAAATATCTTGCTGTGAAAGTATTATTCAATTTCAACGATTAGAAAGAATACTTAAAATGTGAAAATTTATTGTGTTACAAGTGGATACACATGTGTGTCACTTGCACAATACAAGACATAGAATCTGGAATACCCATTCAAACTACTAGAGTGAAGTGGATATTGACTGCTCTGACGCCTAAGTTTCTTAATGTTCATATATCTGTCCATTTGGTGTTGAGGGGAGGATTCCCTGTCATCTTGAGCCCCAATCAGGAGGTCATTTGTCCTATCAATAGGAAGGAAATAAATACCACTTGCTTTATCAAGATTTGTGCAAAACTGTAAATAACAAAGAGGAAGAGCACAGAGCCAGCCAGCCAGAGAATAGAGAAAGACCAAATTAAAAAGGAGAGCTGCGGCATCTTTATCTAATATGTTGCTAGTCAAAGTGTGGTCCATGGACCAACAGTATCAGCTTTACCTGAGAACTCATTAGAAATGCAAATTTCAAGCCCCATCCCAGACATACGGAGTCAGAATCTTTATTATAGCAAGGATCCCAGGTGCTTCTTATGCTTATTAAAGTTTGAGATTAAAGACTGAGAGCACTGGTCTAGCCCAATGTTGCAAACGATTGCAAGTGAGCTTATCTAAGTACAAAGGTACAAGAGCAAATGCAAGCTTCAGATTCTTATGGGGTGCATTTAAATAAATAATAAAAAGAAAATAAATTTTATTTAAAAAATAAAGGAAACATAATAAAAAATATTTTATTCAAAGTAATCAAAGAGGCCATTTCAGACTGTTTTTCAAACTGAGAGATGAGACCTAACTGAGGATGGTGAAATCGGTTTAAATCCATGTTTCTCAACACTGGCTGGCTACACATTAGAATCACAGAGGTTGCTTTAGAAAGCCCCCGTGCCCAGGTCCTTCCCCAGACAATTAAGCCACAATCTTCAGTGGTGTGAATGGTGGGGGAAAGCGGGTTGGGAATGAGGGGTGAACCCAGGCATCAGTATTTTTTAAACCTCCCTAAGTGATGTTAGTGTACAGCCAAATTTGAGAACCACTGATTTAGAAGGTCACAAGGAACAATTCTTTTCATAACTAAAGTAGAATAGCAAGGAGTGGAGTGAAATGGAATAGAATGCAATAGACTAGAAAAGAAAATGTCAGTGTTTCACATGCAGTCAGGGTATTATTTTGAGACTTTTTTGTTCCATATATATGCATGTGAGAGTATATATGTAGTAAATTATACTATAAAATACGTTTCTAACTGTGGGTCGCTGCCAAGAAATTTTTAAACTACTGTTTTAAAGTGAACATTAAACAAGCACATAAGCAAAGATGGATAAATATTCACAATGCAAGTCTTGATTTTTTTTTAAAGTTACCTCCCAGCACAAATCCAGGCAACACAAGAATAGTTTAGAACCCCAAAATTACCAATAGACCTTGAATAGACAGAAAACAGAGGAATCTGGAATGTACTTGACTAAAACTTAGACTATTCTTGTTGGTTCTGTGTACTCATGCTCATGCTAAAGATGGAGGAAAATATAGTTCATCATGAATTTCCAATAGTGAAGGGTCAGTTGCTCTCAACCTGTTATATCCTTTAAATCCTGACTTAGAGACCTTTTCAGATATTGTTAGAGAGAGATCTGAAGTTTGTGGGCAGTGAAATTTAGCAGATTAAACCATGTAGGGAACACTCCTTGCAAGAGTGGTTCTCAACTTTGGGGCCCGCTTGAAAATCTGCTAAGAGCAAAGGGAATTCTTTTATAAAAATACACATATTCAGCTACACACAGGATTTTGCACGAAAATAGAGAACCCGCCAAATACATTCACTGACCACTTCACAGTGTTGGTCTTCAGATTAAGAGCCCCCAAAAGAATGTGGCTTTCAGAAAGCTTATTTCAGTGTGGGTGTGCTACAAGTTATTCAAGTATCCATTAATTGATGACAACTTGATATGCAGAGTTTTCATCTCACAGAATTAATAAAGCAGGGAACAGATTTAGTAAATGAAGACTTGCAGTAATCAAAGGCGAGGTCCCAGTGGCACAGTTCTAAGGTTCTGCTAGTGGTGCAATACACTTGGCCTGTGCTAGATAGAGCTTTCTATTCTTCCTTTCTGTCTTCTTTCTCTCTCTCTCTTTCTGTTTTAATCTTTCTTTTTTTAATTGTAGTAAAATTTACTTAACATAAAATTTACCATCTTATTCTTTTTTAAGTGCACTGTTCGGTAGTAAGTACATTCACATTGTCGTGCAATCGATCTCCAGAACTGCTTCATCTTGCAAAACTGAAACTCTACCCATTAAACAAGACTTCCCATTTTGCCCTTGCCCCAGCCCCTGGCAACCGTCATTCCACTTTCTGTCTCTATGAATTTAACTATCCTGGGTACTCATATAAGTAGAATCATACAGTATTTGTCTTTTTGTGACTACCTTATTTCATAGTGTAATATCGTCAAGCTTCATCCATGTTGTAGCATGTGTCAGAATTTCCTTCCCTTTTAAGGCTGAATAATATTCCATTGCATGTATATACCACATTTTGTTTATCTATTCATCTGTAGATGTGCATTTGCGTTGCTTCTACCTTTTGGCTATGGTGAATAATGCTACTGTTTTAGTCTTTTGAAGCTTGTAAAATTCACCCCAGAGAGCAATCAGAGGAACCTTAATTTGGGAGTCCAGAGTAATCCTAAAATGAAAGGAGGCACTGTCTATCAGTCATCATCAAGGATGAAAAATGGTAAGCCTCAGATTTTAACTTGCCACACAGTAACTTGATGGAGGAATGCTCTGTTCTTGCTGAAAAGAGGCAATTTTAAATTTTTCTCTTTTTGTAATTATAAAAATAATGCCTGATCATAAAAATACTATATGTTCACTATAGAAAATTTGGAAACTATGAAAAAAATAAAGAACGTTGAAATTGTCCCTAAGCTATCAACCAAGAGATATCCAATGTAAATATTTTGGTGGTTTTCTCCTAGTTTTTCTGCTATATTATATACATTTATATAAATGCCGTTCAGTATATATATAGCTGTATACAATTTTTTAAAACCAATTGGTATCATACTGCAAATTAGTTTCTATCCTTTTTCCATTTACAATACCACATTGTATTGTTAGTATTTTATCAAGTTATTAAAATTCTTTGTAATGTCTATATAATATTCCATTTCATGGATATATCATAACGATTTAATCATTTCCCTTTTGTTTAATGTTTAAGTTATTTCCAATGCTTTATCTACTATAATCTTCTGATAAATGTCTTTCTATAAAATCATTATTTACATTGCTGATTAACCTCTTTTGGATAGATAACTGGAAGTAGAATTATTGGGTCCAAAGATGTGAATTTCTATAAATCTCTTAATTCATATTGCCAAATTACCGGAAACTTCTAACCAATTTGGCATATCTATTAAGAGATTTATATAAGTTCATACTTTTGGATCCAATAATTTTAGAGTATTATCTTTTATTTACTTATGAGACCAAAAAACAATTAGTATTTTTGTTTTTCTTTAACTTGTATTTTTCATAAGTTTAATGGCCCTTTGTATTTCTTCTTAAAAGGCAAACTATGAAGACAATAAAAAGATAGTGGTTGCCAGAGGTAAAGGATGGAGGGGAGGGATGAATAAATGGAGCAATGAAGATTTTTAGGGCAGTGAAAATACTCCGTATGATATCATAATGATGCATATGTGTCATAATACATTTGTCCAAACCCATAGAATGTACAACACCAAGAGTGAACCGTAATGTAAAGTATGGACTTTGGAGGATTATGATGTGTCAATGTAGGTTCATCAATTATAAGAAATGTATCACTCTGCGTGGGGAATGTTGATAACGGGAGAGGTTGTGCTGTGTGGGGGCAGGGAGTATATGGGAAACCTCTGTGCCTTGCCCTCAGTTTTGCTGTGAACCTAAAGTTTTACATTCTAAGAAAATAAAGACCCAAAAAAAAACCAATAAAAAATGTTTGAGGACTTACAGAAGATTTAAATTTATTAGAGTTAAATCTACTAATCCTTTGTGATTTCTTAAGCTGTTTTTATGCTTAGAATGCCCTTCCCCAGGACAGATTAATTAATTAATTTATCTTTATGATAATTTAATGTTTCAATTTTTACATTTGCTTTTTTATTCTACCTAAAAGTTATCTTGATATCCTATAAGATGACAGTGTAACTTAATCTATTCTCACCCACGTCCCCACTGACTACTACCAAATTTAGCCAATTTTCTAAGAAGGAATAAATGTTCCATGAGATTTTGGGAACCAGTGTTGCAATATTTTATTATTAAGAATTATTTGGGCTATTGTTTAAGATAGTTATTAAGGAGATATAATTTTAATCTTGGTTCATTAAAAGTTTCTATCAGAAATGAATGTTTCCTTTATTAAATAACTTTCTCAGCCTCTACTGAGATGATAATGAATTTTTCAGTTTGTCCTAAAGATATGATAAGTATATATGATTTCCTAATATTAGGGCACCTATGCATTACAAGCCTAAATACAACTAAATCATGGCAGATTTTTATTTTAATACAACTGATTAATTCAATTTATTAACATCTTATGTCAGTTGTGATTTTTGATCCTATTACATAAATGAAATTGTGTATTACATTTTTTAGGTTTTGGTATCAAAGTTATTTTAGTTTTATAACATTGTTTAGATAAGTTTCCAATAAAATTTCCGTCTTATTTGCTCTTATATTCACTTTTTATAAAAACTAATATTTATGTTTTGTCTCTTTTTTTCAAAGAGGTACCTCGTGAATTTATCAATTATTCTATTTATTTGGGCTTTTATTTATTATTCTCTGCTTTTATCTTTATTAACTCCATACTTCTGTCTTTTCCCAGTTTCCCTGAGTTGTTTTCCCTTTTTGGGAGGGGATTTTTTTTTTTTTGTAATGAAGTGTAATACATTTACACAAAAATATACTAAATATGCGTAAAGGTCAAATGATAATCATCAGAGTTGGTTAATTCCATCTGCCTCTTATAAGAAGGAAAAAATGGAACATTACTTCATGAACAATTGAAAAGGCACAACTTCTATTTGTGGAACACAAATTCTGATGTATATACATTAAATCAGCCTCAATAATGATATTATTCAAACTCTACTTGGTATTTATTGTTCAAACTATTTTAGAACTATTTTGGTTGCAGGTGGCAGATTCCACTTGAACTTTCTTAGAACAAAGGAGGATCATTTGCTAGAGTGAATGGAGATCCTGTTGCTTGCAACCAAAAAATTCCTAAATCTATTGTAGTACATTCTAGGAGGATTTCTCAAGTTTGTCCTCCACATCACTGGTTTATTATTTGCAGTGTCAGTTTTGCCCTTTACTCACTTCTATGTAGATTTTAATTCTGCTTTTTATTTTGGGTTTTCTTACTTTTTTTTTCTCATTCCACTCAGTTTCCTTTCATAGCTATCTTTGTGTCAGTCTTGTTCTCTTCACAAAGAAGCCATGTCCTTGGGCTTCTTTTCGATTATTTCAAGCGTATATGTTGTAAGGTTTTAATGTATCTCTTAAAGACTTTTTTTTTTCTAGAATCAAGATCTTCCTTTGAATATCAAAAGGTGGTGTTTCTGTTCCCTTATGTTATTTTTTCATATACCCCTAAATTGAATTTTTTCTGTCTATTCATGTTGGAATTTGGAGAGAACTGTTGTTTGAGCCCAGTGTTTTCCAAGAGACAGGGTGAATGTCCCTGACTATTCTCAAACTTAAACCCAAAGGTCAAGTTAATGTGCAAACTCTCTAATGCAGTGCATATTAACCAGGGATAGAATCATTCCAAAAGGAGAATTTCAAAAAGTGGGTAGGTAGCTTAGTTTGTGTGGTAGGCAGGCAGGCAGAAAAATGCCCCTTCCAAAGATGTCCATGCCCTAATCCTTGGAATTTGTGAATAAATTACCTTAAATGGCAAAAACAACAGATGTGATTAAGTGTATGGACCTTGAGATGGAGAGAGTATCCACGTGGGCCCAATCTAATCACAAATCCTTAAAAGCATAGAACCTTTCCTCCTTCACAGGCTGTGGTCAAAGAGAGATGTGATGATAGAAGGGTCAGAGGGATGTTAATGGGAAGGACTCAGCCTGCCGTTAGTGGCTTTGAAGATGGAGGAAGGGAACACTAGCCAAAGACTGGGTGGCCTCTAGAAACTGGAAACAGCCTTCAGCTGACAGCCAGCAAGAAAAGAACACCTTCATTCTACAACCTCAAGGAACTGAACTCTGGCAACAATCCAAATGAAGAGGAAACACACTCTCTCCTAAAGTCTCAGAAAGGAATGCAGCCTGCTGACACCTTAATTTTAGTTTGGTGAAATCTGTGTCAAACTTCTGATTTATAGAACAAAAAGATAATAATTTGTGTTGTTTAAGAGGCTAAATTTGTGGTAATTTGTTGTGGCAGCCATAGAAATAAATACAGATTGTCTTAATGACAGGCAGATTCTATTTTCCAGAGATAATGCAATATCTCCCTTGGCATTCTTCCCATTGAAAAGTGGGTCTGCCCTTGACCTCAAATCTGGGTGGGCTTAGACCTGCTTGTAGTCAAGAGTGCAGCAGAAGTGATGCTGTATGACCTTCAAGGAAAGGCCAGAAAAGCCCATGCCAACTTCACCTTGTTCGCTGGAACACTCCTACCCAAAGCCCTGAACTACTATGCATAAGTCTGATTATCTTAAGGCTACCATGCAGTGATGAAGCTAAACCACATGGTGGGGCTTCTTGGAGCCACTCTGATGGGCAATCCCAGTCTTCCAGTCCTCCTACCCTAAATGCCAGATGCATGACTGAGGGAGCATTTAGATGATTCCAGCCTGCAGCCACTGTCTTGTCCCCAGCCTTGGAGTCTTCCCAGCTGAGGCTCAGATGGGGTGGACCATAGCAAAATCATCCTTGCTGTGCACTGTTCAATTTCTGATGCATGGAATCTGTGAACACAACAAAAGGGATATTGTTCTATGCCACCAACTTTGGGATAGTTTTTTACACAACATTAATAAGTGAAACACAGGAGGTACTACCTGAATCAAGTGCCCACGGGCCAGTGAAGCCAGCTATCTCATACAAAAAGAACCACTTCTCCAAAACCAATAATGCTCCCATTGAGAACTGTTGCTCTAATACATTAATATATATCTACTGGTCTGATGTTGTATTTTTCTCCTGCTGTCAACATTGGCTTCTCTGACTAAACAGGTGGCAATTATTATTTGAAAAGTGCAGGATATGAGCAAGATCTACCCACCCAGCAGGCAGTCCTCCTCATGCCCTTTCTGCCTCTATCCTATTTATTGCACTTTCCATTAGGTTAACTAAGAATCCCAAGATTTAACTTGTCTCTGTTCACTTACTCCTCTTTCTGTTGTATTGTTTCTGTGAGTTGTTTCTGAAGGCATGGAGAGATAGATGTTCCTGAGAAGGTGAACGACAGGACTTTAGCTCTCACTGGCTCAGTTGGCGTTTGTTTGTGGTCAGCAAAGTACCTGGAATTAAACACACAGAGCGAGGGGGATGCCAATCTTGTTTCCTGTTTTTTGACATCATCTGTCATATTCTGTTTCAGAGGGAAGAGCTTATGGAAAGTAGTTTAAGAATATGTTTTCAGTCCATCATCATCAATATAACAGTCGAAATTACACCTGGACTTTAGCAACTCTTCCTCTCTCATTTTAAGTCCACAGTGCCATTGTCGGTCTTTCTCCTTTTCTGTATCTTTATGGGCATTTTAACAGGAATCGTAAGGCAGCCCATCAGACATCTCTAGACAGTCCCTTTGTGAACCCAGATTGTAGACATGCTTTTAAAGTCTTTTGCCCTAGGAAGATACCATCAATATTTTAACATAAGCTATAGAAGTTAAATGAGAGAATAGTTTGATATATGGAATTTTAGCTCTACTCCAGCTTTTCAGAAATGCATCTGTTCATGTCTTAAAGCATACATAAATGAATTGATAATTGGATATCAGGAATTGGCTACATATGTGACACTTATTATGACACTACAGAATTTGGAAGGAATAGCATTATATTTGAAGGAATAGCATTATGTTCTTTAAGTATATTTGATAGAATAGTGTTTCAACTTCTGGTGTTTCTATGTGTAATTTAAATTAAATTTAATGTCTAATTAACTAATTAAATATAGTATAACATCTAATGTCCTTCAAATAAGCCAAGTTAAATGACAAGCTTCAAATTACCCCATATTAATCCATTCTAAAGTTGCAGGTAAACAATAGTAAAAAACAGATGATCTTTGGAGGGTCTGTGCATTAAAAAGTAAGTGGAAACATATTATGTTGGTTTGCCAGGTTCACAAAGTTGACTCATTTATGAGGAAATAGATCCCAACAAGGAACCATCAGTTAAAGAAAACTGCTGAAATTTGAAACAAAAACACACAAATAAAATATTGACGCTCTCCACAATATATCTAAGAAAATGCATTTCTTTTGATTTGGATTACAACATTGCATTCTTTTTGAATGGAAATTAATTTATTCATTTGCCTACTAAACATTCTGTTGTGTTATGCTGTACATTACCTGAGTCCATAAGATAAAATTCCCAAAGTAATTTTTCTAACTGAACCCATAACTCTCTCCTCACCTTTATCCCTGAATATGCATGATTTCCCATTACTGTTTAAAGATAGGACTTCTGTCCTTACAGTATATAGGCACAGAAAGCTGTTATATTTGCCATGGGAACTATAATTTTTAAGGCCCTTGTGCTTGTAAAATCTTTACCTTTATTATATTACCACAATGTAGATTTTGTATTTTATAGAGTATTGTATATTGAGAGAGCACAGTGTCATACCACTGTATAGCCTGAGTCATTCGTTACATGATGGGGTGACTTGCTTTTTTAAAGCAGCAATCAGGGAGCTCAGCGTAGTGTCACAAGCAACTTGACCAGCTTATAAGGTTGGTTACCTTGTGCTTGCTTTTGCTCGTTACTCCTCATTTTTCAATCTCTTCTTATATTGGAATTATTCACCACGTCCTCTGTCATGGGACTTTGTACTGCCTCCCACTAAACTAAGCAGAATATATTTTCCCATCATATTGGTATTGGTTATATGCCTTGCTTTAGCCAAGAGAATGTGGGCCAAAGTGATAGTGTGCGAGTTTTGAGCCATAGCCTTCAGAGTTATTGAATGTTTCTACTTGCTCCTCTTGTACTTCTGTTACCTGCCATGAGCAGAACATGAACATCCTCTGTGTAGCTGCTGGTCCCAGAATGAGGAAGACATGTGGAACAGACCTGAGCCCAGCCCAAAGCCTGGACTCCAGCCTAGTCCAGTTTGGCCCAGCCAAGCCCAAGCCATATCATGAGAACCACAGCCAACCTGCAGTCCTCGAGTGAGAAAAATAAATGCTTTTATAAGTCATGGAGATATTGGAGTTGTTTGTTGTACAGCATTGTTGAAACAATAGTTAATTAATACCTCTCCCATTGTGGATGGTTCTCATGCATTTGTCTTCCTGTGTGCACGTTTAGTGCTTTTGGGTGGCATTCAAATGGATGGAATCAACTGGAGCATGCCAAAGACCACATGAGACATTTTTGCTGTGAATTCCCAAGCTAGCAGAGAGATGTTGCATACCTTCAATGTTCATATTTCAGTCACCATTTTAAAGGACTTCTAGATGGGCATTCAGCCTAACAAAACTGTCTGGTGATTTGGGGGTTCAGCTATTTTATGTTGATGAGTTATGACTCATCCATTAAAATTGTAAGGACTTCCGTGAAAGCCTCTCTTTCTGTTACATCATGTGTCTGGAGCATGAACACATTTGGGCAAGCATCTGAACGTTTTCATGAAGTAGCATGTGAACCTAACCAAGTTTCTTCATTTGAGTGGACCAAGTACCCATATCTTGTTTATGCAAAGGCCCTGCTTGTGGTGCTCTAGGATAGCCCTGAATTGTCCCTGCCTCCTGGTACACGTGCCCCATGTCATACCCTCCCCTTAAGTGTGGAAGGAACCTGTGACTTGCTTATAACAAACAGTATACTGTAAAGGTGACGGGAGGTCACTTCCATAATTATATTACATAAGATTGTAACATCTGTCCTACTAGGAAACTCTCTCTCTTGCTCACTTTGATGAAGCGAGCTGTTATGTGGTGAGCTGCCCTATGGAGAGGCCCACATGGCAAGAAACTGAGGGCAGCCTCCATTTGACAGCCAGCAGGAAACTGAGGCTCTGAGTCCTACAACTGGCAAGAAACTGAATTCTGCCAGCAACCAGGTAAGCCTAGAAATGGATCTTTCCCGTCAAGCCTTGAGATGAGACCGCAGTCTCAGCCAACACCTTGATTGCAAACCCATGAGAGATCTTGAAGCAGAGAACCTAGGTAAGCCATGCATAGACTTTGGACCTTCAGAAACTATGAGGTTATAAAGTATGTGTTTTAAGCAGCTATGTTTGTGGTAATTTGTTACTTTGCAATAGATAAATAAAACGCTGTTCAACCATGTAGCAAGTTGACGATTTCCATAATGTGATACATATTTACTTTTATTCATATCAAACATTTATTGAATACCTACTAGATGCTAAGCACCTCTTAAAACACTGCTGATGCAGAGATGATTATGACATACTGCTTGCCCTTGAGAAGTTCACAGTCTAGGGAATGTCAGACACTCAAGCAGCTGGTCACAACACAATGGGACAAACATTATAACAGGGATATGAACTAAATGGTATAAGCTATGTTGCTTATTTACACTTTTCTTGGCATCAGATTTTAAACCTGCACCTGGAAAAAATGTAAGGGTGTCATATGGAATATAGACACTATAAAAATCACTGTTGAAAGGTGTTTACTAGGGAACCATCTGTACATACCTGACCAAGAATAAATGGAAATAATTGCTATCACAGAGGACAAAAGCTTCAAAGAAATGGCTTCACATAATTGTGATCCTGATTCCATTGTCCTTCCACAAAACTGTTGAAAATCAACACTGATTATCTCCTTCCTGTAAGTTCTTTCTTCTTATAGGATGATGTTTTGAGATGTGATGTTTTCAGAATAACAAAGTAAAGACATTACTTTTAGTGCAGTGCCATTTAGGCATATTAGTAGGTATATCATAGATGTTCAGGCAGTGTGACAAAAATACCTTTGTCTTTTTGATGTCCAAAGTGAAATCCAGAATTTGCTATTTTGTGAATGCAAACAGTGATTCCCAATCACTATTGTTATACCTAGAATAATTTGCTCTTCCTACAAACTGCAGATGTACTTTTATGATCAAGACTCCAAGATATAAAACAATATAAAAATAATATCTATTTTTAATTGAGTGGTTACTATGTGCTAAATATCTTACTCAATAGTGGATTATCTCAAGTAATGCTCAGAACAACCTGATAAGTTACAGGCTATTATTATTCCCATCTCAAAGATGGAACTGAAGCCACAGAGGTTAAACAACTTAAATTACTTGCCTGAGAGTACATCATTAATAAGTTAGAGGAAATGGGATTTGAATTTGGGCAATTCTACTCCCAGTTCGATGTCCTTAAACTCTACTCTAGACTGTCTCCTAATGTCTCTGACTTCTCCAAGATCTTTAAGGGCAACTTTGAGCATGGGTGCTCTGGTGATAATAAAAAAGCATAATAGTGCAAAAAGGGGCCTTACAGTATCAAAATATTTGATATTTTTCATATATCCATAAATGTTGACATCATTTCCTCCAAGGGCAAGTGAATGTATCTACATGTTTTAAAAATTGATCTAGACAGTCTTTTGTGAGATTCTCCACATAACTTAGTTAACAAAATATAATAGCTTATATATTGTGTCAGGTAGGGAGGGCATAGGCTTTGAAACTTTAAAAAAAAGGTAAAAATAATTCAGAGGCTTAAATAAGGTAGAAGTTTATTTCTCTCTCATTTAAAGGTGTAGTAGGGCACTCAAGGGTGGTGAGGTAGCTCTCCATGAAGCAATTCAGGGACCTGGTTTCCTTCTAGCTTGACGCTTTGCCAGCTCTGCACATTGGAAGCTGGGTCACCACCATGTCTATGTTTCGGTGGCAGGAATAGAGGAGAGTCAGTATAGAGCAAGCACTTTTCTCAAATTTTTTTTTTCTGCTTTATCTCCCCAAATCCCCCCGGTACATAGTTGTATATCTTAGTTGCAGGTCCTTCCCGTTGTGGCATGCGGGACGCCACCTCAACGTGGTCTGGCGAGTGGTGCTATGTCTGCGCCTAGGATCACAACCAGCGAAATCCTGGGCCGCTGCAGCTGAGCGCGCGAACCCAACGACTCGGCCACGGGGCCGTCCCGCAAGCACCTTTCTTTTAAATAAGTAACGTGGGAAATGTACACCTTGCACCCCCTTACACTTCATAGATGAAAACAAAGTTACATGGCCACACCCAGCCATAAGGCAGAATGGGAAATGTAGTTTCTAAACAGATGGCCATATGCCCAGCTAAAACTCAATTCCAATGAAAGAAGAGAAAAATAAATTTGGAAGGGAAGAAAAGCCAGCAGTCTATCACACACAGGTATGCAGACACTACATGCAAATCTATTTTTCTGATTTCAGCATTTTTAGGGTGTAGGCTCTCTGTAGAACAATATCGTTCTTGTTTTTCCGTGATTTAGTGGAGAGTTAAAATGACTTTGAAGCCTCATATCACTAAAGCCTAATATCACTCATCAACTGGTTGTGCACCTGCTAATAATATCTACTTTTTAAGTACAGGGTTGGTAAAGGGATAGTTGCTTTATATTAGGTGAGAGCATTTTGAAATTCTGTGTAAGAAGGGTGTATACATGTGCCAAGTAACTAATGGAAGGAATGCAGTGAACACGTATTGTTTTGTCTGCCAAGCATCCCTTTCTCCGTGTGACAAATAGCTACGACCCTTCTTCAGGAAACTGACTCAGACTCACTCCTTGTGGTTATCAGCAGGGGAGGGGAAACCTTGCAACCGCCTTCTGAAGCTTCTGAAGAAAGCTGCCTTAAGTATGCAGTTCTCTCTGCATGCAACTACTCAGACTCTGTGTTACCATGGTGTACATCAGCTCTTCCTTGTGTCTCTTCAGCTAAAGGGTAGTACAGTTCCCACCTGCTGTTGCTAATTTCTGGGTAAACTCTCCATTGCTTGACTGACTTGCAGTTCTTCCATCACCAGTGTAACTTATTCCCTGTATTAGATTCCCTGTGTTGTACATACCTGAAGTGTTTTCTAGTCTCCTGATCAGACCTTGACTGATGAAATGGCCTACTCCACTGGGTTCTTACAGATCTAGCTATACTCAAAGACTGACGTGTTGTCTTTTGATCCCAGTTCTCAATTTTCTCAGAAAGAGAAGCTGATTGGCCCTGTTTGTTTCAGGTTCTTGATGGGGGTTGGGGGTGGAGAGAAGAGAAAGGTGACAGAGGGTTGGTGGGAGAGAGCTCTTATTATGAGCAGGATAAACAGCCCCCAAAGTATCTGCTACAGGAACACAGATGTGGAGGGTGTGTCCAGACAGACTATGGTACCCCACGAACCTTTCAGTAATTTTTATTATTAGCCTAACAATCTTTATTACAATCTTAATTCTCTTTATAGTCAAAATAAACAATCTTGCTTATTTTCTTAACAGTGAAAGGCTTTAGTTTGTTGTTATCTTTACCTGGAGTTAGCTGCATTTTAATGGATGCCTCCGGGAGATGAAAAGTTTTTCAAAACACAAAAGAATTAAAGAATTTAGATTTCTTGATATTACTCATAACTGTGACCTGTAGCTCTAGTCTGAGGGTGGGCCAGATGAAGTCCTAGAATGGGGGTGGGTTTCAGTTCAGGTCCTGAAAGAAGCAGACACCAAGACAGGTTTGGATGTAGAAAAGTTTCATTGAGAGAATAGCAGTGAAGGATAAAGGGAAGGAAGCAGGAGCAGGAGGGAGGGACTGACACCTGCAAAAGCTACGAAGGAAGAAAGATTGACTGAGAAGATCCTAAGACTGCAGGCAGTTCTAAGAAAGTGTTGATGAAAATAATCCATAATCAATCTATAAATGAAAATTTGAGTGAGTTTGTTCTGAGCTAAAATGTGAGGACCATGGCCCAGGGCCTCTTCCAAAGGAAGAAAGGGCACCAAAGAAGTGGGGTGTACGGAGTGGTTATATACCCTCAAAGAGGATGTTTCACATATGATTGAAGCGTCCCTTTTACAATAGTCACGAGACTGCTCTGTCAGCACAGTGATTGATGGACACAGCAGGTAGGTCTGCTGTCTCAGTGGACACAGCAGGGTGGCAGTTCTGTTGTCCTGAGCTGGGTGGTCACAGGCGAGCGTAGCAATCAGTTCCTAGCCTAAGGAAAGATGCTTTTCCTTAAGGAAATGCCAGTGTGTGTGGGGGGGGAAGTTGCACCTTTATCTTAAGGCCATTTGTTCTTGCCATAGTAAATGTTTAAAGCAGATATACAATGCATGCTCAATGGCCATGTCAGGCCCTTTTGCAAAAACAAAGTCAGGCCGAATTAAGTTTACACCAAATGGCCTCCTCATATACTCCAATATATCCTATTGCTTGCCGTTTCTATTTGTCAAGTTTTGACCAGACATATGGGGAATCCTTGAGTCAAAGCTGCCCATTAGAGGGATCCTGCATCCTTCCAGAATGGGCCTGCACTGATAGCCCTGCTATGCTCAATCACTGACTGGGAGCAGCCCAGGGGAAATGTGGCCTTGGCATAAACAAAATGGTGGATGCAGCAGGAGCAGCTGAGGCTGAAAGGCAACCGTGCTCCCTGCAGTTGGAGATCTAAGCAGGGTATTTCCACGGAGGGAAGTACAGGGTACCAAAGGAGAAGATGATTCCTAATGTCAGTTCCACAGCCCATGCTTACCATATCCCTCTCACTGCCATATGGTGCAGGATGTACATCCTGTTATCATGTTAGTCTAGGCTAGTATGGCAATTTCAGGATCTGGTGGTGGCCTATGTACCCAGGAGAGTTACGTGGAGTGGAGGAGAAAAGAGCCAGGAGAGGGGATGTGAATGTTGGCCTTGCCAGAGTGGGTCTAGGCTGAGTGTCCCCATAGGCAGAGGCCTAGGGGAGAGCTAGTCTTTGAGGAGGGCTGTCCCATCAGGTCCCCCCTCCCTGGAGAACATCTGCATTTCTCGTGCTTCACTTTCTGTTATGCCCTGAGCCAGAGAATGCACACAGTGCCAATGCAGAAAAGCAACTAGCACACAAATTGCTGAAAAATTGTCTCAATTGCTATTTTTCTAAGAATGTTGATGTCACTTCATATTTAATTTTTCTACCTTAAATATATGAATTGTATTATATGTAGCATAACATAACAAGTTTTTATACAATGTTTATATTTTATACAGTTGTTAATCATCAGCTTTTTTACTTTAGTTTCTTTTTCCTAGTTTAGACTGCAGGCCACTCTCAGCCCTGTCATGGTGCTCTGTACTGACTGAGGACTAACAGACCTGTCAGGTTTTCTCTTGGAAACTAAGAATGTGAGGAGCCAGAGAGAAGCTGGATCCCTTGAGCTACTGTTGTGGCCCAAAGGATGGGGTCATTCTGTGGCTCTCCATGAAGCCAGCTGGGCCTCCCACCCCGGAAACCATCAGAATGCAGGTGATGGGAGATGACTGGGCTGGTTTCCCAGGTCTCTTAACTTCCTGCCCAACAATAAACCTCTAAAATAATATGGGTACATGTGTGACTCTTGCCTGCAATATGGAAGAAACTGACTAATCCTTAGTAGTTCAGGAGAGAGATGATGAGGATCTGAGGTAAGAAGATGTTGGTGGGGCTGGAGAAGAGAATCCATTACTTGGTGACTGAATGTTGTGGGATAAGGAAGAGTCACGGAGAGCTCCCAGGTTATCTGCTTGGGGCCCTGGGGGATGATGCACCGCCAGTGGAGGTAGAGGGCACAGGAGAAGGGGCAGGTTTGGAGGGAATTTGAAAAACTCAATTTGAGCAGGTTGAGTTCGAGGTGTCTGTGGGGCCATTTGGGACAGCTGGATCTATAGGTCTATTCTGGTTATTTATTGCTACTTAACAAACTACCACAAAACTCAGTGGTTTAACAGAACAATTTTATTTATTTGTCCACAGTTCCACAGTTTGGGTATGGTGGACAACAGCTCGTCTCTGCTCCATGTGGCGTCAGCTGGGGGGACTTGACTAGGGCTGGAGAATTCACTTCCAAGATGGCACTCACTCACATGTGTGGCAGGTTGGTGCTGTGTCCAGTGGGAACACAGCTTGGGATGTTAGCCAGAGACCTCGGTTTTCCTCCATTTAGCCTCTACAGGTGGCTAGGTTAGATGTCTCACAGCATGGTAGTCTTACAGTATTTGGATTTCTTACATGCTGCTTCCCCTAAAGGACAAAAGCAGAAGCTGCTGTCAAAGACAAAAGCCAAACCAGCAGGGAAATAGATTTTATTGAGGCTATTGCAATAGGGAGAGTACCCAGATTTGAAGATCAGAGTGTTTCAGCAGGGTGGTTTTGCCTTATACTTTTATAGGGTGGAATGGAGAGGTTAGAGGTAGGATGATTATTGCTGGGGTTGTTTTGTAATCAGGGGAAGTCTCAGACAGCCACGAAACATGTGTCTCTGTGTCTAGCCAGTTTCAAGGGGACAAACAGTTCTAATCTCGGCTAATCATTCATGAGACAAAGAACAGTAAGTTGAATGGTTTGTGTCTGACCTCATCAACAGGTTTAGGCAAAAAAGGAAAGGTCTGTGTTGGGCCTTGTCACAGGTAAACAAGCAGTCATCTGCTATTCTTAGGAGGAAGAGTAGACAGTGAGTTTCATCTAAGTCAGATGGAGAAGAATGGTTCTTTCTTGTAAGTTGCTTCCCAGAACACAAACAGGTGGAGGAATTTCTTAATTGTCTCTGTTTTCCATGAGTACAGGCTCTCATAAATTTCAGTGTTGTCACTGCAAAGCTTTCTTAAGGCCCAGGCCTGGGTGGCACAGTCATTTTGGCCACATTCTATTGTTTAAAGCAAGTGACAGGTCCAGCCCAGATTCAAGGGGAGAGGATTACACAAGAGTGTGAAAACTGAGGAGGCATGGTTCATTGTGGGCCACAAAAATAACACTCTCCCACAGAGTCTGAACCTTGGACTGGATATTTAGACTGGAATGCTACCAGCATATCTGAAGTGGTAGCTGAAACTACTGGGGAGGATCACTCTGTGGGTGTATACATTGGTAAGGGCAGAAAAGAGTCCACCAACATTGCAGACACATGAGATTGGGGTATTGAGGATTGAGAGTTTCCTAGTTTCTCAGTAGCCCTCGTTAATACTGTTTCTCTATCAACATTTTCTGGGCTTTTGTTGCTAGTTCTATTCCATCCATGCCCATCTTCCTCTACTTTATACGTGGGACACCTACCACAGCATGGCTTTTGCCAAGCGGTGCCATGTCCACACCCAGGATCCGAACTAGTGACCACTGGCGCCCGAGAAGCAGAACGTGGGAAGTTTGCTGCGCAACTGGGCCAGCCCTTACAGTTTAATTATTTACCCTGATTAAATCTGGAGGGAGGCACTAACTTCACCTGTCCAGTTTCTGCAACAAAAGGGCAAACAGAGAGGAAATCCATGTGAAGGGCAGGGTTTGTCTGTTTGTGAACAAAGGTCTCCCACACAGGGACCCTCCTCTCAAGCTAGCTAACCTTTGGAAATTCAACCTTTCTCTACCTTGGTATCTTTTTTCTGCACTCAACAGTATCAACTTCCTTTGGAGCTCTTTGTGAAGGTAGCCTAATAACAGACCATAAACCTTTTTTATTAGGTGAAGCATTTACCACTCTAATTCGAATTACTATTCAAAGGCTTTCATATTGGGGAAACAAACACTGGCACTCCACGTGCCTAGGTTAAAGGGAATGTTAAATCATGACTAAGCAAAGGGGGAGGGCAACAAGGCACAGAGTTTAGACATTGCCTGCGTTCTGAGAGTCAATCCAAACTTTACAGAGATACCACAATGCTAAAGACACATATTGTCCTGGGTTATGAGCAAAGATAAAATCTGAACCTAGTATTGTAGGTTTGTAAAATAACACTGTTACGTATTATTTCTCTATGAGTTATACTAAGTAGGTCTGCACAAAATGCTGACTGCCCCAAAGCGGAATGAGGTGCATTTCACAGAGGAAGTGACAAATGAGCTGGGTCTTGAAGCATGAATAGGAGTCTACTCAGCTACAGAAAAATGTCCAATGGAAGGCAATTTACATGCAGCAAGGAAATGTAAATTCTTGGGCAGGAGGGCCAGCCTCTCAGGACCCCAGGAGGGTCCCTGACATCTCCCTTTCCTCAGTCCCACCCTGGGAATGTAGTGGTGTGAGCGTGAATGGCCAAGTCGCAGAGGCAGGTTCCCAGCCTCCAAACGTGTGGTGGTCAGAGGAGAGGATGGAAGGGGAAGAGAGGGAAAGAAGGGCCAGCTTACAAGGCAAAAAAAAAAAAAAAAAAAAAAATCCCGCCCACGCGCCCTGGCAGCCGGTCGGCTCCGCAAAGAACAGCTCAGCCCGCTGCTCAGCGCCCAGCTCGCGCCTCGCGGGGCCCCACAGACCAGGCTCCCAGGGCGAGCGCGTCGCGCGCCCGCGCAGTCTCCAAGCCCGGGCGGGCGCCTGCGCACGAGCGTCCCGGGCGCGCGAGGCGCGGGGTTATTAGAGGTGGAGCGCGGGGAGGGCGCGCGGCAGGAGGCGGTCGCCGTTACGGCGCGAGCGTGGTCACGTGGTCGTTGGTCACCGCCGCCGCCACCACCCCCTCCCATCCTGTTCTCTTTCTGGCCCGGTCGGTTCTACGAGCGCCCGGCAGAGACTGAGGGAGAGAGAGAGAAAGAGGAGGGGAGGAGGAGGAGGAGGATTCAGGGAGTAGGAGCTGGGGAGCCCTTCTGCGCCACAGGTAAAACAAAACGATGACGATGATAATCATAAGAAGGTCCGAGCCCCCGAGCGCCTCCGCCTTCCTCCAGTGCAGCCCCCACATGCAGTGGCTCCCGCCCCGGCCTCCCCCTCAGCCTCTCAGAACGAGTCCCACCTCCCCTCGCGCCGCTGCTGCAGCTGCTGCCGCCTCCCGGGAAGGCCTGAGGGTGCCGCCGCCGCCGCCGCAGCCCCCCGGCCGTGCGCCTCCCGGGTCGGCGTGGGGGCTGGGTGGCGGGGGGGTGGGGGGCTCCCCCAGCTCCAGGGCGAGCCGGGGAGGCGGCTGCTTCCCCCAGCCTGCCCGCCTCCCCTCCCTCAGGAGGTCGGGGTCTAGGCTGCGAGGCCAGCTGCTGCAAGAGGGCAGAGCCCGGCGGCGGGACTCGGGCTCGACTTCCTACTCGGTAGGCTTCCCTGCTCGTTTCAGCCGTGGGCAGCACGCTTCCTTCGTGGACCGGAAGCGAAACGCGCCCGGAATCCCCAAATCTGTTAAAATGCAGCCTTTGGAAGAGGGAGAAGCCTTTCACTTGTCAGGAAAGAAACGTGACGTTGTTTTAGTACCACTTAAGTTTACTCACCTTAACAACGTGCAAATTGAGGGCTTTCAGGATATGCGAAGAACTTTACAGAGGGTGGAAGTTGATTTTTGTTCCCCCTCCTCTTCCTGGAAAAAGGAACACAAGCCTCCAAAACAGTTTTCGGTTCTACACGTGTCCTGCAGTTTGTTCATTACTAGCTGGTATAGAGTTTTCCTTCCAGAAATATGATTTATGTTTAAAGTTTACATCCTTTAGATTTTTTCTGAATAATAGCTTTTTGGAAAGAGTTTCATTTGTCAACTCTGATTTGGACTAAATCTCAAAATTTTAGCATGCAGGTTGCACACCTTTAGGCTAGATTGTTCTGAAATTTCTAAACCTAGTCAGTTTTTGGTAGTCTTTGCACAACAAAATATAGTCCCACTAAAACTCTGTATTACTGGTGGTGTGCTTTTGCACAAAATACTGATATAAAGCAGGAAGCGTTAAATGTAGACATTGTTGAAATGAACTTTTGAACACTTGATATAAGTAGTAAAGAAATTCACTTATGTGTTGGTTATTTCTTTTATTGAGCTTTTCTGATTCCACGTCTTGGTAATTTTCATACCGTATCTCTAAATTCAAATGTAAAATTTAAAATTTTACATCTATCTGCAGTCAAGTCATACAGAGCAGCGCTTCTCAAACTTTAATGTGCATAGAACTCTTGTTTAATCCCTTAGGACTCTTGTTTAAAAGTGCAGATTCTGATTGTGTAGATCTGTGATGCAGTTTGTTAGTCTGCATTTCTTATAAGCTCCTCTTAAAAGCTGCTGGACAAAGAACCATTATTGAGGAGCAAGGATGTAGATAACTTGTGTGCTAAGACATAAAATGATGTATCACAGAACAGGTGCCTTTTAATAATTCACCCTGGGTGTAGAGGTGGTTTGAGAGAAGGCAAATAGCAGGATGAACTGAGAAAGGTTGCTTTAGGGAGATCCCTTATGTGGTGTGAGCAGGCAGTCAGCGTCCTATGGGAGGGGCCAGCAGAACTTGAGGAGCTGCCCCACCCAGGAAGAGTGCAGGTACCAGGTCTGCTTGCTGTGTGGTGCCTGCATTACTTGGTCTGTCTGTTTTCTATGGAAGCTTGGGGTACTTGACTTGCTCATCTATGGGTAGTTAGGTTTTTTAACTATAGGTTATGAATCTTATGTCTCTGAATGCACTGCTGGGATGAAAGTTTCTTTTCTTGGTGGAAGTATTGAGTGTCTGGTCTTGTCTCTCACTCGCTCAAATACAGCTGTCAGTTGAGTAGTGCGTTCCTGAGCCTTGGACACAAACTTACAAGCAATCAAGTGTCTCTACCTGTTGAGGGTATCGTTAACGGGATTCAGATTTTTTCCTAATGTAATTTTTTAAACAATTTAAGTTGAAAAGTAAATAAAAGTGTCACACATAACCTCATATACTTTACGTAAAAATGATTCTACTTTTAAAAAAACTTTATGGAAGTATAACATCAAGTACTTTTAGTAACATAACTTTTGTAATCTTCATTCTGATCCTTACTTTACCATTGTTTCTTCACGTTATTAAATAATATTTAGGACAGTATACTTTTGAAGCACTTACTAAGTCCCGGGCACTGTTATAAGCACCTTTCTTATCCTAACTCATTTAATCCTTTAAGGAATTGAAGCAGAAAGAGGGTAAAAGTCACATGTTCAGGTTTACAGAGCTAATGCAGAGCTGGGATTGTGGCCCGCTGGCTATCTAGAGCCCGTGCTTTTAATGATCTTCCCTAGGCTGCTTTTTTAGAAGAAAATCAAATAATGATACTCTTTTAAATCCCTTTTTCCTAGAATTGTTGAGAATTATGAGCTTTGCTTTCATTTTAAAGTTCAAATTTATCATCTTTTTTTATTTCTCCCATTTTATCTTGCTTTAAAATGAGGAACTGCCTCAATACTTGTGATCTTTTCTGAATAAGAGACTGAAATTTGCAAAGCTTTATTTTGTTTGCTGGACCAGTCTCTTTCTAAATTTGTATGTCACTGTTACATGTAAAAGTAGTGTCTGCTTCCCTTTGACCCCGCAAGTTTCAGTTCTTCATTTCCTGCCTATGCCTGTCCTCCACCCCTCCATGCATACATGGTAGATTTATTCTATGTTATCCTAACACTTAGGGTTTTTAGGGGGATTCACTGGGTTACTGACTTTTTATTTGGCCAGTAAGGGCAATAAAAAAACTAAGCATTGGTCACTGTTATCATATTTTAACATTGAAAAAGTGAGGACAACCTCAGAATAAAGTATGATATTTTAAGTTGAATGACTTGTGTTTCGTAAGAAAATTAATATATCGTCCATGCCCCACCCCCTTTTTGTCCCAGACCCCTGAAAGCTTTGTCCTGAATCAGCACCAGTCTGGGGAATGGTGCTTGTACACTAGTATAAGGCAATTTTCTTAACATGGACAAATGATTAGAATGGCAGTAATATACTGAGTGTGTGCTAGAACTTGAGAAATTAGAGGTTGTTATTGGGGGCTGTTGTGGGAGGGGGAAGTTGTTTTGAGGATTAAATGAGTGTGTGTGTGTGTGTGTGTGTAACATATACATATCTATGTATATAACACATTCAGTTAATTCTTACATTTTCCAGGTAGATAAGCATATCATCTGAAGCTAGCCATTTTGGTGTAAGGGTTTTTCATGATTAATTTTCATTTATGGAAGCTGTGCTGGGATGATTTTCTTAATTTCACTGACTTGAAATAAGATGTTTTGTTATGGTATCACTGTGAATTGATCTACTCAGCTCTCAAATGGATTTAAAAATATTTGGAAACTGCTCCACCAAATGATCTCTGTTATGGACTGAATGTGTCCTTATTAACATAATATATTAATATATACATATATATGTAAAATGCTTAGATAGTTAATGCTATCATTGTAAGTGTTAAATATTATGTTGTACTATGGATAATCTGGAGTGTGGTTGATCCTATCCATGTAATCAAGACTGACTATATTTGAATGAACTTAATGGAAATTGTACATTTATTTGGTATAAAGCTGTATGGGCCAAGAAGACAAAGTTTTTACTTTTTGATGAAAATACAGAGTTGGTATATAGTAATGCTCTTATCTGTTTGGAGAATGAAATATGTGTAAATATGGTTTGGCAGCTCAGATCTTTCAAAACAAGGCCGTAAGGCTGTAGAAATAATAAAAGATGTCTTTGGTAGTTTTATGAAAGGATTGGTTTAAAATTTTCACGTGTGGTGTTGTGAAGCCTAGAACAAGACAGCCTTTTTTCTGAAGGCTTCTCTGACTATAACTTTTACTTCCTCAGTTGACTCCTTTGCTCCTTGAAATAATTCATCTTTCTTTGCATCCTCCAGACCTGGTCTACAACCTCTTTTCTGAAACCCATGGTGGCATGTGTGTCTCAGATGTAAAAAGTTTTTGGAATTTAGAAAATTAATATGGTGCATATGCTGTATATCGTGAATCCTCCTGTGGATAGGAGCAGTCACCCCAAAATCATACGCATTAATTTTCCCAGCAAAATTATACATATTCACACTAAGTAGAATAAAAAAAGACTATAAAAAGCTTCACATTAGTTAGGCCATGTTTTGTTGACAACTTAGAAAACAGTTTTTAATTTTTAGACTTTTAGATTTTTGGAATTGGAGATAAAGGATTGGGGTCTGTATATATATATTTTATAATAATGTTCATCATAGTGCCGGCCTCCTTGACTAGACAGAGAACTGGAGTGTGGGATCTGTGTCTTAGCATTTTGTGTTTTTAGCACCCAGTGTAGGGCCTGGCATGCATTAGGTGCTCATTAAATGTCCATTAGTTTGGATGAAAAACATCTGAAGATAATATCATTCAGTCATTGTTCTGTGCTGCATGTGGTATCTGTGACTGACTCCTTGAAAATATTTAGTAACTGCGGATTTTTTATTTTTCTTAACTTAGTTGCCTAGGAAAGGTAGTTATTCGATTACTTTTTAAATTTTTTTATTATATTTTTTTTGCTGAGGAAGATTTGCCCTGAGCTAACATCCACTGCCAATCTTCCTCATTTTGTATGTGAGCTGCTGCCATAACATGGCCACTGATGGACGAGTGGTGTAGGTCCACACCCAGGAACTGGACCTGGGCTGCCTAAGCAGAGTACATTTAACTTAACCACTAGGCCACTGAGGCTGGCCCTGGATTAGTTTTTGGAAACAAAATAAATTTAAGAGATTTGAAGTAGGCATTATAGATGATTGCAAATTTTCATTAATTTGTATTGACAAGAATGCTTACCTTTACCTTTTTATGGGTCATGAAGTCTACATTTACAAGAATGATTTACTTTTTTAAATCGATTGGATTTAGTTTTACATGATAATTTATAATAGACTAGTTGTGGTATATCTGTCTAAAGAAAATGCTGCTGTGGGTACATAACTTAGGTTGAATAATTACAGGGACAGTTTAGCCTGCCAGTAGAAAAAAAAAGGGTTTTTTTTTTCCCTATTACAAAAAGTAATGTCTGTTGTGGAAATTGTTAAAAATAAATGATCAAAAATAAATTACCTGCACTGTTGGGAATTTCTTAAAGTTCCCATCAGGATTATCTTGCTTTGGGAGAGGCTGAAAAAAAGAGTCAGATTTGTACTGCAAGTCCTAGTTTAGAAAGCCAAGTAACAAATGTTGGTTAGCAGGAATGTTTTATCTCTTAGTGTTACTAAACATTTTGTTCCTAAGTAAGATAAAAAAGTTGAACCAAAAGTAATTAGGTCTTCACTTATAAATAGTGGATCTTTAGAATAATTAGATCAGTGAGAAAGTAAGTCCCACTTCTGCTATAACCAGCTTGTGGGAGATGTACCTGCCTTCTGATGGAGTTGGGGTGATACAACACTGCAAGAAGACTGAGCCCAAGTTACAGGCCTGGCTGCAGAGGTGGGCATTCTGTTTGTGGATAACCAGTGGGGATCAGAATCAATCGCTTTGGAGGTGTCCCAGTAGCTACTGTGCAGGAATCCAAGAGGAGTTTTCAACATTACATCTCTTGTCATCCTGGGGAGAGATAGTGGATTGATTGCCCTGGATCCCTGGTGGGATTTGGTGGGGAAGGTGGTTTTGATAGGAGATGGGCAGGTGGTACCGTTATGTCTGTCTTTGTCCACTGCACACATTTAACTAGTCGTCTTTTTCTTCATCAAGTCCAAGAATCTTGTGGTAAGAATACTCATCTTGATAGGTGGATGTGTGTGGTGTAGGGATGCTTGGGATAAATTGCCTCCCTTCTCCAGCCTTCATTTCTCTTAACTAATTTAGGGGTTAATCTTAGTTTCTTTGTCCTTTGTTGTATGTGTATATATGTATGTGTATTATAGATATACAAAAATAAATGTGTATGTGTAGCTGTACTTATTTTTTAACTAAAAGTAGATTCATGCTAGTTTTTTGCTTGCATTTGTTTTTCATTTAATATTTTATATTACTAATGTTGTTACTCTTCCACATAATTTTTAGCGTCTCCATACTATTTCATTATATGAATGTACCATAAGTAGTCTTCCATTCTTGGACATCTAGATTCCTTTCAATCTTTAAGACAAGAAGTACTACACTGAACATTATTGTGCCTATGCATTGTTATTTATTTAGGAAAAATTGTTGTGAGTGGAATTACTGTGTCAAAAGATAGGCCCATGTTTAACTCCTTGTTTTGAGCAGAATAATTGGGTCAAAAGATATGCCCGTGTTTGATACACATGGCCAAATTGCCCACCAGAAGGGTTGTACCACTTTACCCTTGACTGCAAAGCTGTTTGAGAGGCCCTGTACTTGCCATTATTCTGTATTGCCATGTTTTCTTTATTTCAACAGATTTATTTGGGTATAATTGACTTTATGCCTCCTCCCCTTCTGCTTTCTTTCAGGTTTTAACATTTTATGTAGTTAAATTTTGTTCTTCCTTTATGTATCTTGTAGACTTTTCCTACCTGATGTTTATATTGGTATTAATTTATATTTTTCAACTATTTTCATAGTTTCAATTTTAAATTTTGGGTTTGCAGTTATTCTAGAATATGTTTAGTTGTATAGTATGAATTAGAAGTTTCAAAAATTTTTATGCTTTTCATTAGCCAGTTTTCTCGATACTATTTAATGAATGATTTATTTTTTCTCCTTGGACATCAGAAGCTTTATCATTTGGTCTTTTGTACATTCCCACTGTATTTTATTTTTTATTGTTGTGAATTGGATTTTTCTCTTTATATATGTATGTGTGTGTGTCTCTGTTTATTTTTTTCTACCTGACTATTGTTGGTAAATAGAAGAGCTACTGATTTTTTTGTAACCAGTCACTTTCTGAATCTGTTTATTATAACAGCTTTCAGTTGATTCTCTTACATTTTCCAGGTAGATAAGCATACCATGTAAGGATTTTTTTCATGATTAATTTTCTCTCAATGGAAGCTTTGCTTTTCTTAATTTCATTGACTTGAAATATGTTTTGATATGGTATCACTGTGGATTGATCTACTCACCTCTAAAAAGGATTTTAAAATATCTGGAAAACACTCTACTAGATGATCTCTGTAATGGACTGAATGTAGTCCCTTAAAATTCATAAGTTGAACCCCCCCCCCCCCCATGGTTATAGGAAGTGAGATTTTTGGGAGATAATTAGGATTAGATGAGGTCATGAAGGTGGAGCCCTCATGATTGGGATTAGTGCTCTTATAAGAGTCACAAAAGAGCTTGCTTCCTCTCTGGCATGTGAGGATGCAACGAGAAGTCTGCCATCTGGAAGAGGGCCTTCAATGAGAACTTGACCATGCTTGCACCCTGATCTCAGACTTCAGCCCCCAGAACTGTGAGAAAGAAATTTCTGTTGTTTAAAAGCTATGCAGTGTATTGTACTTGGTGATAGCAGCTGAAACTAAGGCAATCTCCAAGCCTCCTTCTAACTCAGAAGTTTTGTGATTCTACTTTCCTGTCAAAAGACTCCTAGTAATGTACACAGCTCTCTGGTACTTAGGGCCTGCAGCTTCCTTTGTAATTGTGTTTGTCCAGCTCCACCTCCCAAGCAATTACTCTGAGGTTTTGCATTTTTGTCTCCTTAGAGCTTGAAGATTTTCTCTGTGTGGTTTGGCAGAGATTAAAAGAGAAGACTGATAGACTGCAGAGATCAGACATTGCAACGTTGTGTTTGCTTATTTGCAGTATCAAGTATCATGATTTTCTTTTTCTACTCAGGTGGTGTAATTGTCTACTCCTTATGTTGAGTTTTCTTTTCAAGCTACGATCCGATCCTGCAGTGGTCTTGCTATGGTCTACGTAAAGTTCTCCAAGCCAAATTCTGTAATTGTCAAAACTGAGTGTAATGGAAGCCATTGGGAAGTGATAAATTAACCAGGAGGCAGTGAAGGTAGGACAGAATGGGAGAGGTTGGGACAAGGAAGTGCCTGGTATGTCAGCTCTTTTTTCTCTGGCCCCCTTTTTACTTTATGATTATCTTTCTGGACTTTTTTAACTCTGCTGTTCGGATAATCTTCTGGCTTCCTATTTATTCTTCAGATATACCTTGTTTTCTTTCTTCAGAGAATTGCTCCCCTACCTCCTTTCTACTTTGATCAGGAGTTCAGATGCTTTCTTTCAGTCGGTGAAGTAGCCTTGATCAGTTCCCCTGATTTTCCTCTTTCTGGTCACTAAAACTACCTGCAAAATGCCTGACCAGTGGCCATCATGCATCCTATCTTGCAAAGGGTGTGGCAAAACATTGATTAAATTTGGGCTTCCTCATAACATAAAACCACCGCTTTGGAATTGTTAACAAAATGAGAGAGAGATACTTTATAAAGACATATTGTGAGAGAATTGTAAAGTAGTGACTGAATGGTTGAAGACTACAGAGGAGATAGTGAGAGATTAGTGTTACAAAGAGAGGAAAAACTTAGGATGAATCTCTTATCTAGATCTCCAACCCCGTTTTCTTCCTGAGCTTTAGACATGTGTATCTGATTGCCTACTGGATAACTCCACTTTTGGATGGCCCACAGAAAACTCAAATTCATTATGTCTGCAAGTGAATTTACCATCTTCTCTTCAAAACCTATTCCTCCTCCCAAGTTTATTATCCTGTTGAGTGGCACCACCTCTCTCTCTAATTGTTCAAGCCAGAAACCTGGCAGACACATTTTACTCCCTTCTCCCAAATCCTCATGTGAAGGCATCAAGCTCTGTGGAGTGTATCTCTTGAGTCCATTCTCTTTATCCCCTCTACTTCTACTCTGGTTTATTATCTCTTGATCATCATCTTTTGCCTATGTTTCTGTAAGGTTTTCTGACTAGTGGCCCTGTAGCTAGGTGATCTTTTTAAGCTCTCACCTTGTTCTCTTACTCTGTAGCTTAAAACCCTTGAGTACTCTGCTGTCACCTATTTCTTAGTCTTCTGCCTCCTTCTTCTGCCTCCACTATACTCTGTGATTTCATTATAAAGTACTGAAATTTTTGAGTTTTTGGAACTGTTTATGATTTTGCTCACCTCAAGCCTGGGATATTCTATCTCTTGCTCTTACTGACTCTTGTGAGGTATCAGCTTAAGTGCCACTGCTCTAGGAAGCTTCCTTACACCACTGAGTTTGTGTTGTACCCTTCCTATTTGGCCAGATACCCTATACTACTACGGAACATTCATTATGTATTATACTAGTCTTTTTACCTAATAGTCTGTGTTCCACTTTTGACTGTTCTGTAAGTGCCAAGGCAGTGTACATCATCTTTACTCATACTCCTGGTTTTGTGCCTATTAAAAGTAGATGTCCCATACCAAGTACTGTTCTAGGTGCTGAAAATATAACAGGAGTAAATAAGAGACTTTTCCTATTGTTAACTGCTGTGTGATAAACCACTCCAACACTTAGTAGCTTAAGACAACAGTAATATTTATTTACTCATGACTTTATAATCTGTATAGCACTTGGTAGGGGTAGTTTATCTCTGTTTTACTTGGTATCAGCTCATCAGAAGTCAGAGTTTCCACCTCCAAAATGGCTCACTCACATG